CGGCGGCGTTCACGGTGATGTCCTGGTTAGTAACTGGAACTGTTGCAGAAGTAAGGGCCACAGGAGGCAGAGTCTTGTGAGCTGTAGGTACCTGAACAGGATCTGAAGTCTGCATTGCAGTGGCGGAATCGTCGTCGTCAGATGTAGAGTTGACATCCTCTACAGGGTCAGTTGTTGGAGTTGAACCTGGCACGTTGAAGACTTCTTCAGGAATATTGAAGGTAGGGAGACCATTTGCCTTGTAAAGAATTTTCAAAATCCTCACAAATTCTCGGGGGTTATTGCCAGCAGTCATTGTGGCCGTTGCTATCAAAGCTTTTACTGTGCCCTGCCCAATCAGCTTTGCCTTTGGTTGGGCGGGTTGGGGTGGAGGCGGCGGTGTCTGGCTCGATGAGTGGCCGGGTGGCTGGGAACTGGGTCCCCATTGGCTAGTAGAGGCTATACCAGAATGGTGTGCGGTGGCGATAGTTCCTCCTCCCTGAATCTTCGGGAAAGTGGCTGCTTGGGTGTTGAATGTAGAGGCTAAGGTGGTAGTTGTAGAGCTGGAGCTGGTGCCTGCTGCAGAGGTCGAGGAAGCTTTAGATTTCTCCTGGTTCTCCAAGTTTTTGATAACTTCCTGTCTGTGTGGACATTGATGGGAGATTGCGATATGTTCGCGGTTGCAGAGCAGGCAGCATGGTTTTTTGGAGGTGCAGATCGAATAGTGGTGGTCTTTCGCGCAAATGCTGCATTTCTGGATGGTCTGTTGGCACTTGTTGGTTTGGTGAGAGTAGTCGTAGCATCGGAAGCATTGGGTGATATTGTAAATTCTTTCCTTCTTCACTCGGAATGACGGGACGTGGACTCCATAGCAGAAGAAACCATCTGTGACAACTTGGGTAGCCTGATTCACAGTGCAGAAGGTGACCTTCAAGGTGCGGCTGTTGCACAAAGAGGGTTGCAAGTACACCCAAACCCGGGGTCTTGTTTTCGACGTTCTCAGCCAGTTCTCCAGTGTAAGGTGCCTCATTGATTCGTTCCTTGATCCAGTGGTTGAGCTCACTGACAATGACAGACCGGGCACGAAGCAACTAGCGTGGGAAGTGGAGATTGAGGTGGTGCTCTGAACGAATTAGATATTCACGTTTCAATAGTTTGTCTAAGTCTTGTTCGTTAGTGAAACGAAAAACGAAGTTGGTGCCTTCTTGTTTGATGTCGTCAGGTGTTACTTCAGCTACATCCTTGAATACAATAACAGTCTCCGTGGTGTAGTGGTAAGACACTCGCCTGGCGTTACGCGAGCGCTATGTCATGGGTTCGTATCCTGGCCGGGGAGGATTTACTGGGCGCAATTCCTTAACTGTAGCCTCTGTTTAACGCAACAGTAAAAAATGTGTACTTGGATGAAAAAACGATTCTTCGCGGCAGGGGATCGTATTCCAGGGACCATAGGATTAAGGACTTGCCCGAAACGCTACGCGTACTAGTGGCTGTACAAGAATGTAACAACTCTTGTATATATCTCAAAAAAAAAAAAAAAAAAAAAAAAAAAAAAAAAAAAATAGCTTCAGGAGGGATGGCTTGGTGAATGCTTGATCGTCAAGGGGCGTACCCCTGACCTTGAAGTGCTTGTGATGCATGGTGGACGAAGGTTCTCTCTCAAAGACTGCACGTCACTGAAGATGGCCTCCCATCTCTACCCGGCATAAAATACCAAGTTAGGAGTGGGGTCTGACCATCTAGAGAGAGACGCAAGTCTGCTGCCAATTGTTTATCCACCCCGCAGTACTAGGTGCGAAAGAGAAGAGCTGGAGCAACGCGAACACGTCCGGCCGCGACGGTTGCTAGTTGCTGAGTTCTTCTCAGCGGATTGTATTCGGGGAAAATTAGTATTAAGGACCTGCCCGAAACGCTACGCGTGCTGGTGGCTGTACAAGAATGTAAGGACTCTTGTATAGTGTGAGGACGGGTCGCAGAACTGTAAAGGGGACGGGACTGGGACTAGAGGCTTTAAGAGTGTACAACAGACATATGTACCCCTTAACAACCCACTGTATCTTGTATATGAGTAATTAAATAAAATTATATATAAATAATTTCGGGAATATGGACGTTTTTAAAGAAATGTTTCCCATCCAATTATATGCATGTGAGAAAATGGTATAATAGTTTTCGATTTTTGGAAGGACAAACTTTGATAAAAGAATTAATAATTATATGTAAACAAATAATATTCTTGGTATGTAATCATTATTGAAGGATTTGTATCATAAGAGTGTTAACGGAATAAATGTTTTATCGACATGAGACGGTTTATAATCAAATGGAAATAGTTTGTATTTAATGTCCTTTCATCGCTTACATATGCGCAAACCATATTATTTAAATCAAATTTTTTATAAGTTTGTTTTTAATATTTCTTAAGTAGTAAACACATAATAATAATAGGAAAATAAGAATATGTACACAAATTTATAAAAGAAATGCAAAATTGAATATACTAACATAAAGATTACGGTGACGAGTGATGGTCCACAGTCATGGTGGGTTGGACTGTGGCAGCCCCGGCAACTAGCATACTTACCTGGCACAGGAGATACCGTGATCACGAAGGCGGTTTTCCCAGGGCGAGGCTCACCATTGCACTTCGGTGGTGCTGACCCTTGCGAATAACCCAAATGTGGTTATCTCGGGTGCGAAATTTTTGTTAGCTGGGGACTGCGTTCGCGCTATCCCCTTAATATACATTAAAGCAATAAGCCATATACTCGTAAGCCAGTTTTGACGCAGCCGCTGTTTGTTTAAATTCATAAACATTAAATGTACATCCGCTCCACACATTCTCTTGTGATATTTACATACAAAATATTGTTCCTGAAGCACCTTGTGCTTCAAACTCGCACTGTATCTTGTGCTACCCACTCCCCAGTTTTAGTACTTAAGACATGCAATTTTATCAGTGTAACAATTTCCATCGTTTTATATTGTTCTTATTATGTTCAAGTCAAATTTTGCTATCATGTGGTTTATCAAATCAAATGTTTATTTAGGTAAGGTACATACATACAAGAGATTTTACAAAGAGTGATGGATTTATATGATAAGAGTTTATATAACATTAACTACCCACTCCCCCAAAGTATGTGCCTAAACCATACATCATCATTGTATTCACTGCCATCATCTTATACCATGATTATGTTGAATGCAAATTTACTACAATGAACCTAGAAATAATCCTAAAATTATGCTACAATGTACCTGTTGATCTTCCTCAAATTTCACTAAAATGTACATACTAATTTTCTTACAATGTACTTGTTAACATTTTTCAATTTTGCTACAAATTACCTACCTAAATTCTTAGAAACTCATAGATTAAGAACCTGCCCAAAACGCTATATGCGTTTGGGTGGTTTAACCTTCATCAATCAATTGATTAATCATCTTCCGTCAATTCATGCCCATGCCACCTCTTGGGTGGCTTAAAATCTTCATCAATCGATTAATCGTCAGTATAATTTCCACAGTGAGTCAGTTAACTTCAGTACAGACGCTTGGGAGTTACCACAGTTAAATGACTCCACACATTCCTGATTGACAGTTGAGAGGCGGGACCAAAGAGTCAGAGCTCAACCCCCGCAAACACAACTAGGTGAGTACACACCTTCAACCTCAAGAATGTAGCACTCGGAGGATACAGTTCCAACCGACCCCAAGACGCTACAGCTTCGACACAGAGCAGACAGTAGACTCCGACGGTCTCGTTCCCCATCGAACTCCCACGCTCTTGGCCACCTCGAGCTCCCACGCTCTCGCCTCATCGAGTTTCCACACTCACCATCCCGCATCGGGCCGCCACGCTCTCTTGCATCGAGCTCCGCGACTCCGGCCGCACTCAGCTCTCTGCTCCAAGTTCCGTCTCAACGTCTACGACACTACCAACAACCGACTGCTATAAGCAAGACTACTAAATATATATAAAAACCACTAAACACTGTGTTTCTAATGAACCAAACAACGTATCATAATCGTACGTTACAACCTATTACATAGTGTCTATAGGGGAGTTCTCTTAAAATACTCCGCTTACTAGCCTCTGACTTTCAAATTCTTTGTCGAATCGTGCCTTAAAGTTGTGGGTGGAGGTGGTTTCCACAACTTCCTCTTTAAGAGCAATCTAAAATAGTGTAGTGGTCTAGAGCGTTTCCTTGAGGGTACCAAAATGAGCGGGTTCGAATTATCCTTTGGCTCCTACTGATTGTTTTAAGAGATACCCTACCAGAACCTCTGAGTGATTCAGCAGGAATACACGATCCGGCTTTTACTGAATGTTCAAATCAGTGTGATGGCCTTGCAGCCCCAGCACCCAACCAAGGGTGGGGGCTGGGATCTAGCAGAAAGCAAACAGCTCTGCTGGGACATTCCAGTAATGGAAAAAATAGCTGATGCCATGCTCAGCACTGCAACATCTGATAAGGAGAAAGCCCGTCTCAGCTTGAAGAAAACTGTAGTCTTCTTTTTATTTATTTATTTATTTATATATGTACAAGAAGTTATATTGGGTTTATGAGAGTATATAGCATTGATATTTTTACATTCTTGTAAAGCCACTAACACGCATAGCTTTTCGGGCAAGTTCTTAATCCTTATTTTCCCCGGAATATGATCCTCTAAATCGTTTAACAACGAGAGACCCATTCATGCTGGGTGAACAGAGGCTACAGTTAAGGATTGGCGCCCAGTCAATCCTCCCCGGCCAGGATACGAACCCAGGCCAAAGCTCTTGCGAAACGCCAGGCGAGTGTGTTACCACTTCGCCACGGGCACGAGGACATTTCAAAATGATAGAATAGCTTAGGCTATTACCCTCCCTTATTGTATCATACTGCCTGGATTATATATATATTTTTTTTACCTCAATTGTTTTATTAATCATTGTGGTATATCATTGTATTTGTTGATATAATGAGGGTTAGTGAAAATAGAGGAGTGTGCCTTGAGCCGGGCACCGCTTTCTGTGAGTCAGTGTTTATATCCAGCCCGGCCCGCCCGCTGCCCGCACCTCTCTTCACTCTTCTCTTTATCCCTCACCTCACATTTTGTACCATTTCCAGAATAATTAACCCTCCAAATATCAGGATTAGTTGCATGCCTTAACTGGCAACGCTTAAACAATATTTTTTTCAGCTGTGAGAGAAGGTATTTGTGGTTTTATCAGCAAACTTCCGCTTGACAGTGAGGGAGGTGGTGCAAGATAACGCAGTTTGACAGGTATTGTCCCTCTCAATATTTTGTCTTACGTTAATCCTTCTTGGACTCAACTGTTGCGGGGAGATCACCACAGTGGTCACCTGGGTGCTATGGGCCGCTAAGGTTATGGGATAATATAATATAGTATTAGCAATGGCGTGGCACAGGGGGTGATATGCGCGTCTGTCAGTCAGGTTAAGGGTCACTACACACACCCTTATCTATAGCTATAGGGACTACAATAAGCCTAATAGTCAGTCTAACCCCAACGTTGGCACTAGTCATAACTGTTGTAAATTATTTCCTGTGCAATAGAGCTTTCTTCCCCTGTGGTTCTTCAACCCGTTCTCGCAAATTTAATAAGTCAATATTGACTTATTAAATATGTGCATAGGTGACATACTTAACATAATAGTTTCCCTTGAAAAGCTTCATAGAAAACACCGACCTTACCTAACCTACTTAGTATGTTAAGATAAGCATCTTATTGCTTCGTAATTACAATTATTACCTAACCTATACCTATAATAGGTTAAGTAACAATTGTAATTACGAAGCTATAAGATGCTTATTTTAACATACTAAGTAGGTTAGGTAAGGTCGGTGTTTTCTATGAAGCTTTTCAAGGGAAACTGTTATGTTTAGTATGTCACCTATGCACGCAACTAATAAGTCAATATTGACTTATTAAATTTGCGAGAACGGGTTGGGTTCTTATGGTGGCTCTGAGGCCAGACATTATAGTATAGAGTCAGTATGCAGCACTGGTATTGTGGTATTAGGTCAACATGAGGCACTGTGGTATTGGGTCAGCATGTGGCACTGGTATTGGGTCAACATGTGGCACTGTGGTATTGGGTCAACATGTGGCACTGTGGTATTGGGTCAACATGAGGCACTGTGGTATTGGGTCAGCATGTGGCACTGTGGTATTGGGTCAACATGTGGCACTGTGGTATTGGGTCAACATGTGGCACTGGTATTGGGTCAACATGTGGCACTGTGGTATTGGGTCAACATGTGGCACTGTGGTATTGGGTCAACATGTGGCACTGTGGTATTGGATCAACATGTGGCACTGTGGTATTGGGTCAGTGTGGTACTGTGGTATTTGGTCAACATGTAGCACTGTGGTATTTGGTCAACATGTGGCACTGTGGTATTGGGTCAACATGTGGCACTGTGGTATTGGGTCAACATGTGGCACTGTGGTATTGGGTCAACATGTGGCACTGTGGTATTGGGTCAACATGTGGCACTGTGGTATTGGGTCAACATGTGGCACTGTGGTATTGGGTCAACATGAGGCACCATGGTATTGGGTCAACATGTGGCACTGTGGTATTGGGTCAACATGTGGCACTGTGGTATTTGGTCAACATGTGGCACTGTGGTATTGGGTCAACATGTAGCACTGTGGTATTTGGTCAACATGTGGCACTGTGGTACTGGGTCAACATGTGGTATTGGGTCAACATGAGGCACCGTGGTATTGGGTCAACATGAGGCACCGTGGTATTGGGTCAGCATGTGGCACTGTGGTATTTGGTCAGCATGTGGCACTGTGGTATTTGGTCAGCATGTGGCACTGTGGTATTTGATCAGCATGTGGCACTGTGGTATTAATAATAATAATAATAAATGTTTATTTAGGTAAGGTACATACAAGAGATTTTACAAAGAATGATGGATTTATAGTTAGGGCTAGTACATACAATGCCTAAAGCCACTATTACGCAAAGCGTTTCGGGCATGAAAAACTTAAATGACTAAAGCTTAATACTAATTGAGCATAAAGAATAAAATGTGTTGAGAACAAATAAAAATAGGGATAAAAATGGTCACTGCTTGATCGCAAGCGGGGATTTTTCTGATGGGGGAGAGAGAAACATTTGCGCAGCGCGTCCCGCGGCGTTGCGCGGGCAGTCTGGGGCCGTATAAATACAGGCGCACAGAGAGGCTCTGCCTTCACTCCGCCTGCCCCCGCCGCTGCCCTCGCAAATGGCAACATGTGGCAACTGTGGTATTAATCAACTGTGGTATTGGGTCAGCATGTGGCACTGTGGTATTAATCAAATGAGGTGTTCTGAAAAAATATACTGGAATGGATGCTGTACATACAATTCCCATGAAAAACTAACTAAAAAATGTTAATGTCTGTAGTTTTATTGTTTACCAGGTGTCACAACACCCTGGTACAGTACTAGAATCCAGACAGATGGGTATTTTACCTGTTTCCTACATGGTTATGGACATGTAATTACCTAAGTGGAATTCCCCAAGTTACATAGTTATATTAGAGCTATGTTCGTGGCATCACGTCTTCCCAGTACTCTGTCATGTGATGCTTTGAAACTACTGATGGTTTTGGCCTATTCACTCACTAACTTGTTCCAACCTTCTACCACTCCATTTGCAAAAGTGACATTTCACATTTTTTTGGCAGCTTTGTTTCCTTAGTTTGAATCTGTCCTCTTATTCTTCAAAATGCAGTTTTCAAAAGTTGTTCTCAATAATAGACTCTATTGTCTTTCTCACAACTATTTTCTTAGGTTGAACTTTACCACTGACTTTCTTGGGACCAATGGCATGATATATAATAAGAACCTTTATGTTAAAAAAGCAAAAAAGCAAGCAAACAATGAAATTCTTCACAAAGAATTTAAAGCGCAGCCTAGGTTGTTACTACGCGCGATAGAGTTGTAAACAAACTGAAAGTGCTTCGCCCTGTGCCCCCAGCACCACGTGCTCGTTCAACCCATACGTGTACGAACAGAAGTCGTGTACCAAGTAAACCGTCGTGTACCAATTCAAATTTTACTACGAATTTGACGTGTTCTAAAAAATTTGTCTTCTAAGGCAGTCGTCAACTGGGGTCCCACTGTACTGTAATTGAATAAAATTGTATAATACAGTATATTTGAATAAATTTGACATTAATTCTCAGTTAGTGAATGATAATTTTCCCCATGTTCATTTAGTTATTTCTCACAATTTACATTGCACAAATTGTATTCTTTTCAGTGTTTGAAAAGACTCTTAAGACAAAATGTGGAAGGCTCAGGCAGGCCACCAGATTACTGCAGTTGACAATGGCAATGATGATGATGACTGGGAGACGGATGCTGACTACACAAATACCATGACAGAGGAAGAGCAAAGATATGGTACAAAACGGGACTTGGAAGCTATCGAGTGAGTGCTTATAATTTTTGTTTGATGCCCATGGGATTAAAGATTATTAACATTTACTTTGATGCCCTTCTCAGATTTTCCAATAATGCATATGATTCTTGACATTTATGTAGTTAGGTATTTTATCTTGTCTGATTTGTTTAGAGTTTGCTGTACAGCATTTGCTCACAGTGAGCCGAGAATGTCTTGGAAGCTTGACTTTTGTTGGTGATCACTGGAGCTTGTCAGTACAGCAATCTCAAGTGAGCTATTGAGATGCCTAAAAAGTAGCATTTCATTACACTCGATACTCAATTTTAAAATATTAAAAAAAATTTCACATATCTAATGATACCTTTTTCAAACAGTATGAAGAAATACAGAGAAGAAACAATCAATGCAGATGCAGAAATGAAAATGAAAGAGCTGGCCGAGGGCCCGAAGGCATCATATGGATATGGAGGAAAGTTTGGAGTTCAAAAAGACAGGTAAATTAATGTTTCGGGTAATAATGATACTAGGGTTGCTTAATATGCTTATACAGGTACTGTATTGTTAAAGAAAATGAAGTTCAAAGTATTCTGAAAATAATTAGTCACCACCTTTTTTTTTTAACTATTGGCTGGAGAGAGCAATCTTCTGTAAGTGATTGCTGTAAATTGTAACTCTAGTTAGTGTGTATTTTGGTGCTCTATAGTTACTAAATCTATTCTTATAAACTGTAAAGGCATATGTGGTCACTCTAGAATGGTATCTCAAATTACCTAGAGCATATGTTGTGTATATGCACTTAACTAACTGATGTGTGAGGGTAGGAAGATTGATTGGTTTAAGAGGAGGAAGATTGATTGGTTTAAGAGGAGGAAGATTGATTGGTTTAAGAGGAGGAAGATTGATTGGTTTAAGAGGAGGAAGATTTATTTATTTGTTTAAGAGGTCGCATTTACAATCTTTAATTTCCTCTCCATGTTTGAAAAGAAGAGTTAAGAGAATTTGTTATTGTTTTGTTTAATTTTCACTGAAGCAAAGGGTGGAACACTGAATTTTAAAGAAGATGGAAGAGCCACATCACTGCCAGTTTTCACAAATACTTTCACTTAGTATCTATTTCTTGAATATGTGAACTGTTGTTGTTGAATTATTTTCTAAGAAAAAAGAATTTGCTTAGACATACGGTATATACTTTTGCCTATTGTATTCAGGGTACATAAATTCTTCTGACAAGCGTATATCAGCAGGAAAATGTTAGTTATTATATACAGTGTAAGTGCATAACTTTGTCATGGTTGATGTATCTTTTCTGGGAGGGGGGAGGGCCTCGTGGCTCTCTGAAGCTACTATACTGATATAGTGCCAGACTACAAGGTGCCATCAATTGTGACATTTTATTGGCCTACCAGGAGAACCACAAGGCAAATCCTGGGCCCCCTCAGAGGCACAGAGAGCAGTGGCAATAAAAAAACAAAAACAAAACCAGTGTTAAATGTAATGAAATGGCAGTTTCTGGGTGAGCCCCAGTAGTTTCCTAACACCCTCCCTCTTCCATGGCTTTGGGTGAGAGAGGGTGTCTCATTACCTCCCACTAGTTTCACGAATTATTGATCTTTTGTTTACATTGTTGGGGGAGTCCTTTTGGCTGTTTTGAGTCTGCAGTCTCTTTCTAACTAAGCAGTAGTCTGTTTTGTTTCGCTGACTTTCTTGGTGCCTTCTCTTGGTGGTGGCAGACGTTAATAACTTTACATAAAATTTTTTATAAGAGTCACTGCTCCCTGTAACTCTGAGGGGGCCAGGTTCTGGCTCGTGATCCTTAGTAGGCCAAATAGAATTTTACAGCTGATGGTACCTTGTAGTTTGGTACTATTTTAGTATAATTTCTTTAGGGAACCACCAGGCTCACTCAGAAATTGGCATTTCATTAGCTTCAACGCTGTTTTTTTTGTGGGGGAGGGAGATTAGAGGTACAGTATTTGTCTAATTATGGTTTCCAGACAATATTTTTAAAATAGTTCTTTGCATAAGCTTAAACTTCGAGGGTTTATAACTAAATTCTAATATTGAAATTGAATTGTGTAGCTCCCTAGTGGCTGCATTGGGAGCAACAATTGAAAGAATGGAAACAAGCATCTGCCGCATTCTTTACCTTATTCTATTTTTATTTGGTTTAAGGATGGATAAGAGCGCTGAAAGCCACGAATACATTGGTAAGGTGGAGAAACACGAGTCACAAAAGGACTATACATCTGGGTTTGGTGGTAAATTTGGTGTTCAGTCTGATCGTCAGGATCGTTCTGCTGTTGGCTGGGATCACATAGAGAAGGTTGATAAGCATGAGAGCCAAAAAGGTGAGTTGTATGAATGTCCTACATTTCTTGTCTAACTTTTCTGATCAAATGACTTGAACAGTTTCTGGTGTGTAACTTGCAATTTGCATATTTTAAGTAAATTGCTTCAATGTTGATAGTTGCCATTCTTAATTTAAGCATAGAATTAAACAGAGTTTCTTGAATGGGCATAAAAATTAAGACATTAATGAACTGAATATTCATGTATTTTCCTGAATGTATGTTTCTCCTCCCATTTGTCAAAGATTATTCAAAGTGCTTTGAAAGAATATTGGGTGTTCAGAAAAACTGTCAAGATAAGCCTTAGGCTGGAATCATGTAATACAATGTTGTACAATGACCTATTGTTAAGAAATCATAGATGTATGCTTATTTCTGAGAGGCCAACAACTGGTGGCCCTTGGTGCTAGCTACCTACCTTGAGGTGCTTCCGGGGCTTAGGGTCCCCTCTCTTGAACACTGTGAGGGGTCGGCCAGTTATGCCCCTTATGTGTAGTGGAAGCGTGTTGAACAGTCTCGGACCTCTGATGTTGATAGAGTTCTCTCTCAGAGTACCAGTTGCACCTCTGTTTTTCAACGGGGCACCAAGTACCATCCAGTTCAATCCATTCTAGGCCCTTTTGAGTCATTTTAAACTTACTTGGGACCAAAGGCCAGAGCAGAGGATCCTAGATCCCCCCAAGCAAAGATGACCGTAAAGGAGGGCAAACTAAAACATACAATCACCAAGATAAACAAAGTACTGTATATAAAGTGAGGAACAAACCCCCAAAATGAATGATCCACCTGGTCATGAAGTAGTTCTCTTGTTAGTTTTCTACAATACCTGCGCACCACCAAGGTACTTTATCCCTTCCTTCTCGATCCACTAGCCTTGAACCTCAGTCATTTAGCCAGAAAGATGGAAAACTAAAGCTTCGAGCAGGGAACGGAGGGTCCTAAGAACTCACCAGAAAAAGACAATTCACTATATTTGACTTTGGTTTTCTGGGAAGGCTCCTTGGTGTTATTTCCCTATGGAAAAAACACAAATATGGGTACTTACCAGGGGTGGAGATGAGCAGTAGAAAGTAACTCCCAGGAAAAGGGATTCACCTTGTTTACCACCCTAAAATCATGATGTAACTCGTGCATGGAGCTATCTAAGTATAGGTTGCTACAGGAACCCACTGTTTGGCTTCTCCATAAAATAACATGTACTGTTCCATATGGAAGATAGTCATTCATTGTTATCCAGAAGGGTGTTGTTTAAATCTCATTAGTCTTGCTTATGTTTCAACATCTGCACATCCATACAAGATTGAAAAAAAATGACAAGAAATATTGAGTATGTTAGGTTGAAATGTTTGATAAGAAGCTATTAAAGTCTTTTTGCTTGTACAATTTAACTTTCCTTGGGATAAGGGGGGGGGGAATACTAAGGACAAAGGAAGTTTCAAAACTAAAAGTGTGTGCATTCTTGGTCATGTACTACTACCTAATAAAATAGAGGATTTGAAGAATACATTGGTGCACTGATCCTGGTCGTGATGGTGCTTCACTGAGTACTGTATGTTAGTGTCTCATGAGTGATACTGTACTAAGCTTTAATTAAACAGTCACCTTTCACTGACTTTTTTCAGTGGTGCATATTTTTTATCAGCACATTACAGTTTTAAATTTACAAATAAATTCTTTATCATTATAATGAATCTTGGTTTTTAATTTTGTTATTATAGTATTGTTTGGTTAATTTGAATGTCCTTGGGGACAGTTTCTTGCTTTCACAGAGGAAAGTGTGATTCATTTTGTGCCTGGGTTTATCTTGCAAGTTTTGCTTTGCATATATTACATGTTGTGTTCTTCTCTATCCTGCAGATTATAGTCATGGCTTTGGTGGCAAGTTTGGTATTCAGGCTGACCGACAGGACAAGTCTGCCTCGGGATGGGACCATATTGAGAAAGTTGATAAGCATGAGAGTCAGAAGGGTAAATAAAACACATTGCTTTGCTAGCTTTCTGATACCTGTACTCCACTACTCTCTAGGACCTTTGCATTATATTGGATTCTAAGAAATTTTGTAATGTAAAATCCTCACCATAATATCTTTTCAGCAAAACTTTTAATAATAAAAAAATACAGTATAATTTAATTAGCATAAGAGTATTGTTTAGATAGCTAAGGTAATTTTAATAAAATATTTTGTATTTACTACTTTTTAAACAAATCTAAGTAGAACATTGTTACAGTGCTTGTTATATGTTGTATAACATACATGGTGTAATTAACGTTTTCAGTTCTGAAATTAGACATGTCAGATTCCAATATATTGTACATGTTTTCCTAAAAAATTGTGGTTGAATTCCAGTGTTGTTTTTATCATGAATGAATCTTTGCTAATAGCTTGCATGGATTGAATACTTTTGTGTGATGTTACTGAGTTTTTGCATTCCATACAATATGCTTGCTGTGTGTGATGACTTGTGTATGCCCCACTTTATCACAATCTTTTATAATATTTTGCAATACTTAACATTGATATTTGGGATATTGAGGAACTTAATGATAAAATATAGTACAGTATAAAATATCAAAACAGAATAAACAAGAGATTTATTTAGAATTTATCAATGTGAAGGGTCGGAATGTAGCCGAGTTGCAGATTCAAATGATTTACAGATGGGGAGTGTACGTGCTACTAGGATAATATTTGTGTAAGTTGTAGTAGCAGACGTGTAACATTATACAGATACTTGGAGTTGCAGACTGATAGTTGTGATAAGTGGCACTGTTGTGTGGAGGTTGTGATAGGTGGAGGTGGCACTGTTGTGAGACTTGATCAACTACTAATACACTGCAGCTTGTGTTACTTACTCTACTGTTTCCAAGAAATGTATTAAAGGCAAACATTCCACATAAATTGACCATCTGCTTTATAAATAAAATTAAATTGATCAGGTTCTAATTTATTTACAAACTTTCATTATGGTTGAATATTTTTAGAATGATAGTCCATGTTATGGCAAGATTAGATAACAAATTTGGCATAATGAATTCATTGCAAGCAGATTGCTTTCCTTTACTGCAGCTCTTGGGATACTGTGCTATTGTTAGTATCTAAATACAGTACTGTAATTCTCAGTTTTTATTATTTTCTCTACCTGGCTTCTTTACTTGTGTGAAAATGCTTGCTGCATTTAGACTACTCCCTGGGATTTGGCGGCAAGTTTGGCGTTCAGAAGGACCGACAAGATAAGTCAGCAGCCGGCTGGGATCACATTGAGAAGGTGGCTAAGCATGAAAGTCAGAAAGGTGCGAGATGCCTATTTGTAATTATGGTATATTGAGATTTATATATGATGTTTATATTTCTCATCTTGGCATCATTTATTGCTCAGAAAAAATAAATACTGCATGAAGTAATTAAGGATTCTCTTAAAGTCTAAACTGTAGGTTCTGATAGGAAAAACATTGATTAGTTTTCCATTGATTGATTAGTCAATTTTAATAATCCCAAGTATGTCAAGGTTGGGGGTGGGGGATATTTTGGAAGGGGCACATGTATTATCTTCAGTAAAAAAACATGAAAGCTTTAGAAATAATGCTACAGTATTTACTTATTTTATTAATGCAGATAAAGTATTTCATTAGCAAACTTGATAAATGTTAAGATAAGGAATTTCATTGTCTCGTTTTTTAAAACTGATAGTCCAAGAAGTTTAACTTGTCAAAAGTTATGAAGATGTAGGAGTAGGCAGGAGGTATCATTAAATGTTGATGTGGAGACCTCTTATTAACCCTTTGGCTGCATGTTTATACTTGACTACATCTCCACCACACATTGTTTTGGGGTTGCAAGAATATTTTTTTTTTTTTTTTTTTTTTTTTTTAATATATAGATATATACAAGAGTTGTTACATTCTTGTCCAGCCACTGGTTCGTGTAGCGTTTCGGGCAGGTCCCTGGAATATGATTCCCGCCACGAAGAATTGTTTTTACAACCGAGTACACATTTTACTGTTGAGTTAAACAGAGGCTACAGTTAAGGATTTGCGCCCAGTAAATCCTCCCCGGCCAGGATACGAACCCATGACAAAGCGCTCGCGGAATGCCAGACAAGTGTCTTACCACTGCACCACAGGGACTGGTTATTGTTTTTATATAACATTTCTAAAGACAGGTACCAATGCTTTTTCCTTATGTACTGGACTGTTGAAATTCCTTTAATGTTTCTGATGGCCTCATCTGTAGCCTGCTCCTAAAGAGAGAGATTTATTTTATGAGAAGGTTCTTTGAAACTAACTAATTATCATATAAGGAACCTGGTGAAACTGCAAGCTAGAGCTGTAATCCTACCTCAGCTCGGTTGAAACCTGCTCTCAAAGGCCCATTTATTTTATGAACCTATTGTAATTATATGCATCATTAGGAATAAACTTTATTTATCTCTTAAGTAACAAACATTTACAAGGAACAGGATGAGCCCTTAACCAACTGTGTGCCAGAGCCTTCATGTGATCCCATGTATCAACCTGTTAGAGTATAGTCTTGATAACCTAGCAAACCCAGTATCAGATATTATGTTCTGTGCAGACTTCATTCTACCCAGTTTAAGATAGAGAATAGCAAACGATAACATTATAGCAGGAAATCAACCTGGAAATAACCAACCTCAGGTTGGGGAACTATCGAGATTGTTGCAAATTTTTGCCTGACTAACAGATAGCAAAGCCAACTGGGAATGAAAATACTCTCAACCTAATCTCTCAAACAATGAAGAAATAATCAGGGACATACAATCTCAGATACTACATACTCAAACCACAGGCTCTTTGAAGTTCAAATTAACATCAATGTTTGTAATAGATCAAAAAGGATCAGCAAGCAAGACGAGTTATCAATTGATTCAATTTTAATAATAAAAAGATTGACTTGGAAAAAAATAAATATAGAATTTGCAAACATCCAATGGAAAACAGTGTTGAGTAACAAAACTCCCTTGCTAGGAATAGAACAATTAACTGCTGAAGCGTACAAAGTCTCCTGGAAACACGTGCCTTTGTGGAGGGTCAGAAATACGATGTTAAAGCGATGGTCCACTGTGTGAGGATAGTGGGGAAACTCAAGTCTAAAGTCACTTGAAAAGAGAAAGACCATGGGGGAGATGAACACAATATAAAAGATACTGAGGGTAATAGATGCACTAGATAGAGTTGGTAATTTTCCCAGATGAGGGAAAGTGGAAAAAGGAAGCATTTTCTTGAGGTTATCTTGAGATGATTTCGGGGCTTAGTGTCCCCGTGGCCTAGTCCTTGACCAGGCATCCTTTTTAGTACACCCCTTCCCCCTCCCCCCCCTCCAGGAAGCAGCCTGTAGCAACTGTCTTAACTCTCAGGTACCTATTTACTGCTAAGTAACAGGGGCATCAGGGTGAAACTGCCCATTTGTTTCTGCCTCCACAGGGGATCGAACCCGGAACCTCAGGACTATGATTCGGAAGCTCTGATCACTCAGCTGTCGGCTCAGTGAGCATAGTGAGAATTTAGAAATGTGAACAAGTTGCACAGAGTTATTACAGAAAACTACAGTATTTGATGATGACCAGACCACACACTAGAAGTTGAAGGGACGATGACGTTTCGGTCCGTCCTGGACCATTCTCAAGTCGATTGTGACTTGAGAATGTCACAATCGACTTGAGAATGGTCCAGGACGGACTGAAACGTTGCATCCCTTCAACTTCTAGTGTGTGGTCTGGTCAACATACTTCAGCCACGTTATTGTGACTCATCGACTACAGTATTTGTTTGCAATGTGAATGATACATAGTTGACATGAGTTACAAACGGCTGCCATTAACAGTTTCAAGAGCAAATATATAACAGCATTAGAATGTTAAGAGCTGTTAATGAACCAGGTACAGTAACCATGAGGCAGAGCTCAAGAGGTAGATCTCAACTCCCCACAGGGACAGTTTGGTAAATACAGGTTACAGACACTTGTACCTGTACTTATACAGATAAAAACATAAATGTATACATAGAATTACACAAATTCTAGAAATAAACAAAATAATATTGGAGTGCTTGCTTCAAGGACGGCCACAAAGACACACTACATTCACATACACATACAAATGTATACATGCATACAATATATACAGTGTCATAAAAAATTATAATAGTAGCTAGAAATATTGAATTTATAAATAAAAGCTTTTTATGAATATTGTTATTTTGTGTAAAGGATTTCGTGCACTTTTCAAATGCTTTCATAATTGTTGCTTTCTTGCTGCTGCCATTTACTACAGCTTTGACATTTCTGCCTCGTACAGACTACTCTAAAGGGTTTGGCGGAAAATTTGGCGTACAAACGGATAGGCAGGACAAATCTGCCGCTGGTTGGGACCACATTGAGAAAGTTGACAAACATGAGAGTCAAAAAGGTGTGCCAGAAGGAGTTATCTTGTAAAATGTTTAACCAGTTTAGAAATTTATGAATTTAAAAATTACAATCTTTGAATGCTAGTGTAGAATGTATTAGTGTATGAGCATACAAATACCTTATATATTTAGCATCTGTTTGATTATTCCCAGATGTTTTGAATTCACTTTTTTGTATAAAATATATATATATACCCTGTTTTAGGAGGGTTCATTATACTGCACCTGTGAATGCTACACTTCATACAGCCTCTGTGACTATCCTTGTTGACCATGCTGCTTGCCCACCTCTTCCTGAGCCCTGACCCCTCACCCACCACCCCCTGACCCCTCTCCCACCTCCCCCAGACCCCTCACCCCCTGACCCCTCACCCACCACCCCCTGACCCCTCTCCCACCTCCCCCTGACCCCTCACCCACCACCCCCTGACCCCTCTCCCACCTCCCCCAGACCCCTCACCCCCTAACCCCTCTCCCACCTCCCCCTGACCCCTCTCCCACCTCCCCCTGACCCCTCTCCCACCTCCCCCTGACCCTCTCCCACCTCCCCCTGACCCCTCTCCCACCTCCCCCTGACCCCTCTCCCACCTCCCCCTGACCCCTCTCCCACCTCCCCCTGACCCCTCTCCCACCTCCCCCTGACCCCTCTCCCACCTCCCCCTGACCCCTCTCCCACCTCCCCCTGACCCCTCTCCCACCTCCCCCTGACCCCTCTCCCACCTCCCCCTGACCCCTCTCCCACCTCCCCCTGACCCCTCTCCCACCACCCCCCTGACCCCTCACCCACCACCCCCCTGACCCCTCACCCACCACCCCCTGACCCCTCACCCACCACCCCCCTGACCCCTCACCCACCACCCCCTGACCCCTCACCCACCACCCCCTGACCCCTCACCCACCACCCCCTGACCCCTCTCCCACCTCCCCCTGACCCCTCACCCACCTCCCCCTGACCCCTCTCCCACCTCCCCCTGACCCCTCTCCCACCTCCCCCTGACCCCTCACCCACCTCCCCCTGACCCCTCACCCACCTCCCCCTGACCCCTCACCCACCTTCCCCTGACCCCTCTCCCACCTCCCCCTGACCCCTCACCCACCTCCCCCTGACCCCTCACCCACCTTCCCCTGACCCCTCTCCCACCTCCCCCTGACCCCTCACCCACCTCCCCCTGACCCCTCACCCACCTTCCCCTGACCCCTCTCCCACCTCCCCCTGACCCCTCTCCCACCTCCCCCTGACCCCTCACCCACCTTCCCCTGACCCCTCTCCCACCTCCCCCTGACCCCTCTCCCACCTCCCCCTGACCCCTCACCCACCTCCCCCTGACCCCTCACCCACCTTCCCCTGACCCCTCTCCCACCTCCCCCTGACCCCTCTCCCACCTCCCCCTGACCCCTCTCCCACCTCCCCTGACCCCTCACCCACCTTCCCCTGACCCCTCTCCCACCTCCCCCTGACCCCTCTCCCACCTCCCCCTGACCCCTCATATATTTTGACGTACACCACAATTAGAAAGTAGAAATCTGAACTATTGAGTTGGATAAACAAGAAAACTATTTTTTACTTGTGTTGCTTTAATAAACTAAACTGACCCACCCTAATCTTCCTAAGCCTAATACACAATATCTGAGGCCTAATGTAGTACATGTGTGTACTATACTAGGCTTAGGAATATTTAAGTTTTTCATTCAGCTTTATTTATTTTAACACTTTGGCGTACCCTGCGCGCCACCCCTCAACTGTGCGATTTGGGTCCCAGGGTGTCACGGGAGCGCACGTAAATTCTGAAAAGTGTATACTCTCTTCAACTTTGTCACCTTAATTCTCTTCCTACGAGGTTAAATTTGGTATCTTTGTGTTCGCAATAGAATTCTCTACAGCACTAAATGCATATAAACTCCAAAAGCCCGGCTAATTACCCGCAGCAAACAGAGAAAGTGGGAACGAGTTACCCAGGAGCGCGCAAACGCAATAAAATGTTTTCACTATTTTTACTCTGGTCACCTCAATTTTCGTCCTAGGTCTTTCATTTTGGTCTCAATGGGTTCGCAATAGAATTCTCTAGAGGAACATTAGCATATAAAATAAAAAACCTGGTCACGCTCCAACCGCCGACAAGTTGAAGACGGGCCACGCGTTAGCCGCGAGTGAGCGCTCAGACGCCTTCCAGCTACACTCCCAATTCCCGCCCTTTTCAAGCCTTTCTTTCGCAATTTTCTTCCTGGAAGGGCCTTGTCCATGATCACTATCCATCGTGGAGTAAGCGTAGATAGTTTCTAAAGCCGCAGTAAGAAATATAGCCACGGAAAATAGCCAAAATGTTCACACGTTTGAGATGCGAGGGGAGGCGACATAGGTCACAACAGTGGAGCGAAAACAATGGGCCGACGGCGTGTGCCGAGCCGCCTGCGGGCCACGAGGCGCAACAAAGAAAATGGGAAGACATCGGCGCGCATTTTAAAACCAGTCCCAAAAAATCGGATAAAAACCTGATTTTTGGCGATTATTTAAAGTGGATGACGCAATGCTGCGTCATGCCCGGGCGAAAGTGTTAAGAATTCCTTACTAGTCACTATACTACAGTATTATCTAAAAGCTAAGTACAGTACGTACAAACTCGTGACTATTGACGACCATCACAATAGGTACTATCTTAAACAGGAGGGTGGGTTGCTTTCCATATCTACTCTCTCCTCCGTGTCTTCGCACCTTTCCATGCCCTACCTCCCTTGCGTATGCGCAATTTGTCCTGCATGTACACCATGTTTCCTGCCAGGTTGATAACTGTGTAAGAAATTACTGTCACAGCCTCTATGTAAACACCCAACCAAATTTGTCTTTATTGGTCATTCCAGGTGTTGTGAGTAATGATAACCTTGTTACTAAGGTATTATTGTATGCTCTGTCTTAACACTGTATCTGTCATTCATTCATGCACTCTATCATTATACTCTATTATATATTACAGTATATATATACAGTACTGTATATCATATATATTATATGTACTGTATATATAATATATGTAGTTTTATTAATTGTTGCATGAACTATTATACTGTAATATTAGTTTAATAAACAAACTAATTTTATATTTTGAACCAAAGCTTGTCAAACTGATCTAACCTAAATATCCCTATTATTTGAAAGCTCTGCCTAATGAAGGTTAAACTGCGTCTAATTAAATTTGTAATTAATGCTATCAATATACAATAGTTCGATAGTTTTATTAAACTCTGACGGTTAGGCAGATATACGAAAGTAAATACAAAAGATCCGTTGCCAAGGAAAAAGTATTTCTTATTTTTCTTTGCAGTGTAATTCTGACTATTTGTACAGCATATGTATACTGTATGTACTCTACAGAATATTTATAAATGCATATGCATTTTCACATGTTCGTACATGCATGCATGCATATACTGTACTATATATATTGCAATCATAAATGCTTTTTATGCTTAAAATGTTTTGCCCAAGTGCTACAGCAAGACCTTGCTTTATGCAGATTATTCGCAAGGCTTTGGTGGTAAATTTGGTGTGCAGTCTGATCGGCAGGATAAGTCTGCCGCAGGCTGGGACCATATAGAGAAGGTGGAAAAGCATGAAAGTCAGAAAGGTGAATTATTTGGTGTTTTTTTTATGTTTATTAATAAATCCTTCTTTATAATATTCATGAATAATTTTTGTGTATTAATATTTAAATGTTAATTTTAATCAATAAAGTAGATATTTGATTTAATAACATCTCAGATAGTTGGATATCTTTTCTTTAGGAACACAGCTTGATTTGTCAATTTGGCTCATCAGTTAAAACTATTTTTGCTCTAGTTTTAATATCACATTAATGTTTTACTCCTCAGATTATGTTGTTGGTTTTGGAGGAAAGTATGGTGTTCAGAAAGACCGCCAAGACAAGGCTGCCCTTGGATGGGACCACATCGAAAAAGTTGACAAACACGAGAGCCAGATTGATCACTCCAAGGTTGGCTTGTAGCAGTTTGTTTCCCGGAAAATTCTCTGTCTTGTCTATATATACAGTATATATAAATCTATATATACAGTATATATAAATCTATATATACAGTATATATATATATATATATATATATATATATATATATATATATATATATATATATATATATATATATATATATATATATATATATATATATATATATATAAAATATTATAAAATACACACCCCACAACTATTGCCTACCTCCCAGGTACCTCTTAGCTGCTAGGTGAACAGAAGCATTAGGTGAAAGGAAATGTGCCCAACCACTTCTGTCCTGCCCAGAAATCAAACCTGGGATCCTCGACTGTGAGTCGGGAATGAAGCCAACATATAGTACCCAGCTCTATATTTCTGTACAGTACTTTGAAATCTCGCAGTGCTCCCAACTCTTGAATTATGCACAAAACTTTAGACTTGTAGCAACATAACATCACATGATGTGACATACACGGTGTCACATCACACTAACATCATACAAGCCTTTGAAAAAATGCTAAGAAGTAATATCACAAAACATTTGTCACATTAACATAACCCCAGACAACAGGAATCAGAGAAGGACACTCCTTTTAATTGCCTGAAAACTAGTACGTAATCTTGGATGTCATGGAAGATAAGGAAAACTCTGATGTAATATACACAGACTTTGTCAAAGTTTGACAAATGCAGCTATGGTGTTACTGTACTCAAAAGTAATAACTAGCTGAAGTAGATAGATGAGTCTTTACTTTTGTAATGAACAGAACACAGAGTTATGGTCAACCAAGAAAATTTGACTCATGCACTGTGTAAAGCTCAGCCCCCTCCCCCCAGGGTACCATACTTGCTCCTGTATTCTCACTCACATATCAGACGTAGACAAGGACACAAACTAGATTTACCATATTATCCTTTACAGATAACACTAGGATTTTTATTAGTAGTAATTACAGAGAACACAGCTAACCTCCAAATTGATGTAAATCAGGTCTTTCAATGGGCCACAAAAACATGATGTTCAATGAACACAAGTTCCAAATCCTGTGCTATGGTAAAAACAAAAAACAAAATGCAGTCAAAGTATATTATAGAAAAAAAAGCAATGTAAAATACCTGGGAGTAATCATGTAGGATGACTTTACTTTTAAAAACACAATAAAGTAGTTCTCACAACTGCAAGAAAAATAATAGACTGGATAACAAGAACCTTTCAAACAAAAGATGCTGAACCAATGATCGTACTTTTTAAGATATTGGTGCTATATAGGTTGGAATATTGATGCATAGGATAGCCCCGTTCAGAGTTTGAGTAGTTGCTGATTTGGAGAATGTGCAGAATTGTTTTCTGCCCAACTCAGTTCAGTAAAACTCAAACTGTACTCCTTAGAGCTCTGGCAAGAGAGAGATGCATAATAATTTATGCTTGGCAAATATTAGAGAGACCAGTTCCAAGTGTACACTAAGAAGTACTCCTTTACGAGACTAAGAGGCATTGCAGAATGTGCAAAATAGCCTCTTTAAAAAGCAGGAGTTGAATGTGTATGCTTAGAGACAACAATGTTCACATTGTTGGTTGCAATAGTAAATTTTGTTATGTTCAACCAAATAATAGCTTTAGGTATTATCGTTATTAGAGATTGAGTTGTTATATACATATACACATATATTGTACAATGAGATCTATTATTCCTTAGGGTTTTGGTGGAAAATTTGGAGTGCAGAAGGATCGGATGGACAAAGCTGCTCACGTCTTCTCTGAGCCGCAGGGGGGAATTGGAACCAACTATGAACCAACAAAACCAGAAGTGAAAGGTACAATTTTCTATGTTTTTATAATTTCAAACAATATAGATAATATTTTAAGGGTTTGAACAATTGAGTTGTACTGTACAATGTATACCATTTTGTGTTTAGAATTTTTAAAGTTATTTTAGGTTGTGTCTTCCACCAAGTATGTTATTGCAGTCGATCATAATTTACAGTATGTATACTGATATACTATATAGGCAGTATATACAGTACTATGATTAAAATCAGAATGCCCTTCAGACACTTGTTAGAGAGGGCTTACATCCACAGTAATGGTATTCTCATGGTAAGAATAAAACCACACAGGTTTTTTGTTACCATGAGGTTAGGTAGAAAAATAGCTTCTTAATAACCCTGAAGCACATATAGGCAAGTACAAATCTGTCAAATCATGCCTTTTCCCAGTGAAAATTAAAAAAAAAATTATTTTTATTTATCATTTTGACTTTTTGCACATGATAGTGGGATCACTTGCAAACAGTATGGTGTCAAGATTGTATATATGTGGTAATTATTTTGACCTAAAAATGTAAAATGGTTATAAAGTGAGAAAGTGAGCAGTGAGAGAGTGAGTGAGTGATCAGGATGATGCAGCTTGGCAGAAGACAACACCTACTTGTGTGTCAAATCAGTGTTCTGTCCAGTGGAATTATGTTTTGATTTTTGTTACTACCTTCAGCACCACGGTTGCTGCTGTAAGCCATCTCATTAATACAAAAAGGAATACAGTGCAAATACTGTAAGATGATAATTAGCATAACAATTGTAGACTGCCAGCCAAAGCGTCTCTGGTATTCAAAGGCTATAGTATGAACATGGCTTGGGAGCATCTATTTTAGTAATTTTGTGTATAACTTTCAAATTATAATTGTATTTCATGTATATATTTTATCTTGTTAACCTTCAAAGAAGGAAAAACATGAATGTATATGGATCATATAATTATTCCTCATATGAGCAATATTATTATTACTCATATGATTGAATAATAAACACTCATATGAGGGATATGTTTGTGGCAATTATACACTGAAGCTCTTTTACCCCATGAGGTAATTTTATCTGTCACTTACCTTCAATAGCCTCGTCTACGGCATCAAGTCTGCGTGCTCGCTTTGAAAATTTAGCAGTAAATCAAGAAGATGAAAGAAAGAAACTGGCAGAAGAAGAAAAAAAGAAGCGATATGAAGGTGATGCAGCTATGATCCAGAAAGAAAAAATGAGACTGATGCAGCAGCAAGAAGAGGAGGAGGAAAGGCTAAGGAAACGCAATGAAGATGAAGAGAGACTTCGGGAGAAGAGGAAAGACCTCATGATGCAACACCATCAAGAGTTGGAGAAGGACAGTGAACAAACAGAAGCAGCTCATTTACAACACAGGTATGTTATTCTTTCATTGTAATTAAAGTTGTATTATCTGTATCCAATAAGCACATTTTTTTAAATTTTTACATTGTTTATAATACCATTCATATTAGGTGGGAATCTTTCCATAGTGAAAGGCATACAGTTGTGAGTTGCCTATAGATTGTAGGAGGATAAATATCTCTCCTGGAGGTACATGCAGTGTCTGGGAATTGCTTCTCATTTCCTAAACAAGGATGGCAGACAATTCTTCCATAGGTCTTCTTTCATGTGCTAGCCATATGCTGTATTGTGCCTACCAATTTTTGTCAACTACCATTCAAGCTGTCATTGCAATCAATCTGAGCTACGTATGTGCTTTAATATACTTACAATTTTCTCATCCTTTATTTTTTTTTCTTGCCTTGTAACTGTTATCATTTTTTATAAATTTTGCAAGTATTTACCTCTTAAAAAATTTTTAGATTAAGGACCTGCCCGAAACGCTGCGCGTACTAGTGATTGTACGCTTTACAAGATTGTAATCACTATATTATGTATCCTCACAATCCCAATGTACCTTCTTGTATATATATATATATATAAATAAATAGACAGATTGCATCACGTTCAGACTTACATTTTGGACCCAATATGTGACGACTGTTATAAATCAAAGAATAATCATTGTACAGCTGAGGGTGTGGTCAGTGCAAATGACAAGAGTATCATGGATACTGACTTTCAAGCATTATCACCTACAAAACATCAATTGGATAACAAAGATGAATCTAGGCCAGAGAGACAGACAAAACAGGCCTCAGGTCTCATGAGAACACTTCCACAAAGGAGACAATGGACATTTCAGTCACTCATCAAATCAGCAACAAGAATCTCTGAACCTTAAGTTGGTGCTCTAGGCTTCAGTTCCAATGGAGCTCATTGTCCACTGGAACAATTGATATAGAATGCTCCAAAATTACATGTGCATTTCTATGGGCCATTGCCCCTCGTGTGTGTCTGAGAGGGCCTGGTTCTGGCTTGTGGTCCCCGGTAGGCCTAGAACTCCACCCACATCGACTGATGCCAAAGTTAGGGATATTCATATAAGCCTGGATAGCTCTGGGAAGCCGTAGGAGCTCCCCCTAGAAAAGTGATCTTTCCCAGGTTCATTCCTACGTGATGCGAATATCGATTAAAGTGAAAATGATCATTGGATATTTCCACCAATGTTTCGGTCATAAATTGCTCCATATACATGTAGTGATCATTTTATTCTAGGGAAGCAGTGCCCAAGAAAATGCAGAGAGAAGAAGTAGGACCTGAAAATCAGAAAGAGCAGGTAGCAGCAAGACATCAGGTAAGTGCTTTACAAGTACATAACATCCCTGTCAGCCTTCACACACATGCAAGGTCATGGCTTCCAGTGAAGGTACTTAGCATGTCACAGAGGGCAGTCGTCATACTGTACTCAGGGGTTACAAAAGTGCAATTTTGATGACATATAGATGTTGACATTTTATGTTTATTATATACTGTATAATTATTTCAAAGTAGGCTATGTAGATTTTCCATCAAGTTAGTCAGCTTTATAAAATAAAATTAAACAAATTTATTTTAACCATAAAAATTATTACAGTATCCACATTTCTGTGGAAATAAACATTCCATTCACCTGGGCTCTAGGAGACTTGGCCCGTGGACCCCACGCATGTGAGGTCGAAGCTCTATCGACCGAGCTATTGAGTAGTCTTAATAATAGTAGTTATATGACGTGGGCGTGGATCACAAATTCCTCTGGCCTTCAATAGTAGTCAGGGAAAGTCGAAAAATCCACTTTGGCAGCAGGATGCTGCTTCTGGTAACTTTCCTTGTTACGACTACTCAATAGCTCGGTCAATAGAACTTCGGCCTCACACACACAAACACAGGGTCCATGGTTTGAGTCTCCTAGAGCCCAGGTGAATGGAACTGATTTAATTATGTTTTTGTTTAATTTGATAGATCATTTATGACTCCCATGAACTTTGATGAAGTTATGACTTTAGCTTTAGTTTACTGTGTGTTGAAATACCTTTGAAGGAGTTTCTAGTAACACTGGGATTTCATTGCTTTACTGTAAAATTCTAAAAAGTTCTAAAAAAGTTGTGTGATAGGTGACATAAGAGATTCAGAATGATAGTAAAAACTGTATAAATAAAATTTTCATGTTGTGAAATGCCCAGCATTTCTGAGAGATTCCCCTCAGTAACACCCTATTGCTACAACCTAACAATGGCTAATCTTTTGGGAACACACCAGGCCTCTGAAGACCCATGAGTGCCTACCACGGACTAGGACCAGAACCTTACTAACCTCAACCTGACTTCTGTCTCCTCAAAAAGGCAAAAAGGAAACTTGTGGATTATATATTTCACCAGAAAGCCAAAAATTATTAAGAATCATTATCACAGTGAAAGCACATCTGGACATTTGCCGACCACTAAATGAATATTGTTTACAGTCAGTGTTGTTTCATGACTGCTTTGCTTGTCTAGCCCTGTGATCTGGCTAACATGCCCACAGTATCTGGGCTGTCTACAGTAGATATTTCTGAATTACAGGTAGAGGGTTTTCAGAGAGCATGTTTGGCACACATTGGCACAGTAAAATTCTTAAAATATTGGGACCATCTCAAAGCACTCAAAATGTACCATCTGGAAAGGGAACAAGAAAAAGTATCATATTTTACATATATGGAGGATACCAGAGCAAAAGATATGGTAGGAAATGCAAAATGGACTTAGTGAAAAGTAGAGGTGATATATGCACGGTCACAGAACACTGTTTGAATATCAGAGGTCCTTGTTTCTTCAACATGCTACCACCAAATACAGTACAGTATAAGAAATATTGCCAGAACACGAGTGAAGTTGTTCAAGAGACAATTGAACAAGTTCTGGAGGTAATGCCAGACCAACCGGGTTGTAATGAGTATGGGGGCTTGTCGTGCCACTCCAAGCAACTGCCTTTTGGATCAAGTTATCACAAAACAATCACAATCGACTTGATAATGGTCCAGGACGAACTGAAACGTCATCATCTCCTCATCTTCTGGTGTGTTGTTTAGTTCTCATATCACAAGACAAGCTTGTCCCCAGTTCAGGCTTGGAGAGCAGGTAAACTACAGGCTGTGTGGTCTTGACTATTTTCTGCCACGTGCTTTTTCATAAGGGTGTTTCTAGGTTGTCTGACCAAGGCAATATTCCAGACTGTTCTGATGTGACCTGGAACTCCATTCTTCTGCTCTTTGGTACGTTGAGATGGAACTAAGGAGGCTCTCTCGGAAATTGAGTGTTGAATGTAATGAAATGCCTCTTTTGGGGGGTCACTCACTAACTACCCCATTCCCACCCTGTTCCATCTTTTTTCAATGGAAGTTGGTAATGGGTTGCTAGCCGAGACCGTTGGTCGCCAGGGCTGCCATCTTGTGGCAGGCAAGCATATCAGATGATAATATCATCACAGTAGCAATTATTTCCATTACTATTGTCAGAGTTTCTAATTTTTCCAAGCAGTTGTTTGTTTTGGAGCACTTTTAGCTAGTGAGATTTTCTCAGTTCTGTAGTAATCTCTGACCCTCAGGCTCCTCACTGCCTCTTGCAGGTCCTCTTTACTGGTAAGCACTTGTGGCTCTTTACAGGCTTGGTGTGTTTTCCATGGTTTTGTCACTTAAAATTTGAAGCATTTGGAAGTTACTGAGTTGGCCTCATCAGAAAGAGACATTTCATTAAATTTAATACTGTGTTTTTCATTTTATTTATTTTGTAATAAATCAAGAGATATCAAAGCATTGTTGTTTATGAAGTAAATATGTACAGTATTTTTTAATGTAGAGGATGCTGTCATCAGTCACTGTTGTTGTTGTTGTTGTTGTTTGTGTGTACGTGTGTGTGTGTGGTCAAGCATATTGATGAAACCTGGTGCATGACTAATGGTTAAATAAATCTGAAATTGTCACAGAATGTCCCTCTTTTTTTTACTGTATGTTGATATTTATTTGGAATGACTAGACTGAATAAAAGCTGCCTCTTTTTATGTAAATAAAATCTGAAGTGACATTAAGTTTTACGATGAGTTATCTTTGTCATGACCTTGCATGTACTGGCAAACAGGAGTGATGGATCCAACAGTTATCACCCTGCATTTGCTGTTCCCTTATGCTACTGGCTTTATCAACTACCAGATGCTAGTTTTTATACTGTTATTATTCCAAGCAGTATTCTCATACATGGGGCTTTTCTCTTGAGCCTTTTTTGCATTGCCAACAAATTATACTTGTATCACATATATTACTTAATCAGTTATAATGAGATTTGATTTTGCTCGCGTTATAGATAAATTAATATTTTTGAGCTGTATTCTAAATTTTATAAATTATTTTTCCTAGAAAGCTCTTGCCTCTTGTTCTTGTCTCACAGTTCTCCATATAATAATATTTATGGGCAGAAAATCCTATTAAATGAAGACTTAAAAACTTTAAATGAAATTAAACTCAAATGAATTAATCAATAGCTCCCAAGAGCTAATCAAGTTGAATCTAATCGATTTTGTTATTTAGGTGATACTAATACTGGCTCAGAGACTGTAATGAGTCTCTTATTGCTTGTGGCTGGTAGAGCTTCTAAGACTCATATGATCAGTTTAGTTAATTCTGTTAATGTGACTAATATTACACACAGAAATCACAATAATATGATATATCAAAGGAACAAATCCACAAGAGCCGTTATGAGGGGTTCGAACCTACATCCGGGATGATTCCAGACGCGCCTTAGTTGACTGTGCCACGACATGGTAAAAGAATTACAACTGGGAGCGCTCCTGCCCTCACATGGATCCTGCAGCCTCTTTTATTTTTACTACCTAACGACATTAATTTACCATGTCGTGGCACAGTCGACTAAGGCGTGTCTGGGATCATCCCGGACGTAGGTTCGAACCCTCATCACGGCCCTTGTGGATTTGTTCATTTGACTAATATTAACCTGAACTATGAAGTCATGTCTACCAGTCAAGAGTAATTAAGTCTCTGCAGTCAGTATGTTGCTTTAATTTTGTCAAGTATTATCTTAGAGGCAAGTACTGTACTTTGTGTGTGTGTCTTAGAGAAAGAATGTTGGGTGTTTGATGTACAGTATGTTGTATTCACTCACTTGCCCTTCATTTGCGATATTGCAAATATTCACACACTTGCCCTGCATTTGCGATATTGCAAATAAACTTTATCATTAATATTCCTATATTCTACTGTTTAAACTTGTTTTAACGGGAATCTTCATTTAAATGTTTCATGGTTTTGAAGTGTGAATGTGTGTGTTGTGGATGTATAAATATTACTACATTTGCCAGAAAGTCAAAGTACAGACTGAGAAATTATGGAAGATTTCACTAGATTCTCTTGTAAAGGTTAAGCAGCTTAACAGGCAATCTCCAATAAATATTAGAAAGTTAAGTTTTTGCTCATATAAGAAATTGTCAGCACTTAAGGCTTTTATTTTAAAATTTATAAATTGTTCTATTATATAACTTAAAAAGTATAGAGTACAGTAGAATTATCCTAGCAAAGTATAAAACCAAGGACTGGTATTTAACTTAACAGATCTGATGGTGAAAGGTGAAGACCTGTACAGAGTGCGACCATAATGCTTTCACCAAGAGTTACACACAGTTATTTGTTGATTGTATATATAGTCAACTTCTCACATTTGCATCTCTCCTCTCTCATCTCTATTCCCTATCTTTCCCTCTCCTCTCTCTCTCTCTCTCTCCATTTCCCTCCTTTCCCTTCCATCATCTCCCCCTCTCTCCTCTTCCCCCTCATTATCTTCCTCTCCCTTTCCTCATCTCTTCCCTCTCTTCTCCCGTTGTCACTCCCATGTGAGACCTGGAGCACCTACTCCCTTTGCCACACACTAGAGAAAGGGGAGTAAAGAACAAGGGGAGAGGAAATATGTTCATGGAAATTGTACATACTAACATAAATGAAGTCAGATAAAAAAAATACTGAAATTAAACGATATAATACACCTAAAGACACCAGACATTGTTGCGCTAAGGGAGATGAAACTTGAAGATGATATTTTAAATGAGGTCATATTCCTGAGTGGCTACTCAGTTTGGAGACAGGACAGAAAAATTAGTTAAGTTGGAGGCGTTGATGTTCTAGTAAAAGAACACCTAAAGGTAAACAAATTAATGATTGCCAGCCCACAAAAAGGTGGCATAATGGCACTGGAGATTTGTAATCAGGATGATAAACTGATAATCATAAGTGCCTACTGTCCACTGATGTGCAACACATGGATGAAGGCGAAGTTG